AATTATGCCAAGCAATTGACAAAACTAAAAATAGCTCATCATACAGCTTGACTCTTCACAAAATCATGTTGATATTGAGATGAACGCTCGCATTAGAAGGCAGCAATCAGGAGGGCCAGCGCGGAAGCCGTCATTGCATTGGCGTGGAGGGCTCTCACAGCCACTAGCGAGGCAGGTTTCGGCGCTGTTGGTGGTGCTGGCGGTGGTGCTGCTGCTGCTGCTGCTGCTGGTGGTGATGGTGATGGTGGTGGTGTTGTTGTTGGTGGTGGGAATGGTGGGGATGGGGTGGATGGGGCTGATGGAAGGAGATAGTGGTGATGCTGGCGTTGGCGCTGGTGATGGTGGCCCTGCGGGTGCTGATGCTGCTGGTGCTGCAGCTGGTGGTTGGGATGGTGGTTGCGGCTGTGGTGAAGGTACTGGTGCTGATGGTGATTGTGCTGCTGGTGGTGCTGCTGCTGGTGGCTGGATCGGCGGGGCTTGTGGAGCTTCGGAGTTGGCATAACCGGCAGGGAAAAGAGGGAATAGGACTGACAAACATCAGTCATATGATAAATAAACCACGGAGCTAGGGACAGGACTTTGCAACTGTTCGGAAAGATACGGAAGCGAAGGGACTGTGGAGCTAGGTGTGTCCAAGGAATGGAAGAAGAGTGAATGAAAGGGAACAACGGACAAAGGTTTGGTGGCTGCAGGAGAAGTTGAAGGAGGAGTAGGAGGGTGACTTTTGAGTCGACTCAAAATGAGCTGACTTTTGAGTCGACCCAGAAGAGTGAATTAAAGGGTCCAACGGACAAGGGTTTGGTGGCAGCAGGAGAAGTTGAAGGAGGAGTAGGAGGGAATGCGGGTGGGCAGGGGGAACAGATGACAAGTGGAAGAGCTGGTGACATGGCACGTTGGGGATTTACAATTTGAAGAGATAGCCAGGGATCTGACTGCACGTCTACAGATGACTTTTGAGTCGACTCAAAACGAGGTGACTTTTGAGTCGACTCAAAACGAGGTGACTTTTGAGTCGACTCAAAACGAGGTGACTTTTGAGTTTACTCAAAACGAGGTGACTTTTGAGTTTACTCAAAACGAGGTGACTTTTGAGTCGACTCGAAAGTCAATTTGAAGAGAGAGCCAGGGATCTGACTGCACGCGTACAGATCTAGATGGTCATGAGGCGAAGGAGGAAGGTTGTACGGCGTTCTTGAAACTTTTCTAAACAGGTAAGTGAGACATGAGCTGCGGCAGGAAGCAGAGAGGCTTACCTGCAGAAGAGCACTGGGAGCAGAAGGTGGGGCAGTCGTCACAGAAGACAGAGAGCGGGTCCTGAGGCACCTCACAGGAGGCTGGGGTGGAGGGGCAGGTGAGCGACGTGTTGTCTACGTTACTGCATGTGGGGTGTAGAAGGGAAGAAGGATATCAAAGGAGGGGATTTTAGGGAGAGGGTATGGCAGCGACGATGGTATGGTGTGCAGGTGGCCGGCAGGCAACTCACAGGTACGCAAGGGTGGTGAGGGAGCCGAGGGAGGCAAGAAGATTCGACAGTGTAGAAAGAGGCAGCGCTTGTGTCGCTTGAGAGAGATGTGAGAAGCAACTGGCACACAAATCACTGGAGAGTCACAGGTATCATTTTGCTTCATCTGCGCAGGTAGGTGGCAGCTCACAGGTAGGCGAGGCTGGTGAGGGAACCGAGGGTGGCGGGAAGAGGGCCTGTGAAGGCGTTGTACTCAAGTCCCCTGCATGGGCGTGACAGTTGGGAGCAGAGATGGTTGGGATAGAGAGGGGGAGCAAGGACGGGATGAATCAGAAGAGCAATGATGGGTTAGAGAAAACAGATGATCTGTGAAGAAGTTGTTTTTTAGGGATTTTTTTCCGCAGAAAAGAGAAAGAAAAACAATCAGGGACTTGATCACAAAAGATACGAGAGACTGACAGGAAGAAGGGAGAGGAGGGACTGACTGGAACGTGAGGTTCTGCAGGCTACCGGGTTACCAGGTTTTGATATGCTTCAAAACTCTCAAGAAAGTATGGCTCGAGTTGTAAGAAGAAGGAAAACGAGAGACTGACAAGAAGAACGGCTTGGTTGTGCGAATGCAGATGAAGGCTATTTCTGAGGCGCCTCAAGATTGAGACAATCTTTGCAAAGCCTCAGAATCTGAAGGACTTTTTACACGCCTCAAAGCTGCGACGAGTTTTGAGGCGTGTAGAAATAATAGAGTGAAAGGAGGAGTTGTACGATAAGAAGAAGGGAGGAGGGACTGACAGGAAGGTGAGGTTGAGGAGATTGCCGACGGAGGACGGGATGGGGCCGGATAAGTTATTCCTGCTGACGTCCCTGTGGGGGGAGAATGGCCCAGGAAGATGAGAGGAGAAGGAGAGAGGAAGGGAGAGAGGACGGGACAGCGGACGGGAGAGAGGAGAGGTGACAGGGAAGGGATGGGGCCTGAGAAGTTATTCCTGCTGACGTCCCTGTAAGGTTGCATGAAAAGGAGAGAGGGGAGAAGGAGAAAAGGAGAGAAAGGAGACATTACAGTGAGTACAGGCGGGTTCAGAACTCAAGGCGCCAACAGCGCCCAAGGCTCCAACCCAAGGGTGGTTGGCATGGAGGTCATCTCACAGAGTTTTCAGGAGGTGCAGGCTGCCAAGGACCCCCACGGACCCCTCTGGACCACTTAGCACCCCCCAGGATCCCCTAGGACCGCCCAGGACCCCCAAAGACCCCCACGATGCATCAAATGGAATGGAGGTCGTCTCACAGCGTTTCCAGGAGTGACAGGGTGCCTATCCAGTCAGGGAGAGAACTGACGAAGCGGTTATTACCTAACGCACTGCAGAGCAGAAAGGAAGGAAGGAGGGAAGGAAGGAAGGAAGGAGGTAACAGGAAGGGGAGGAGGTGGGGGGGCAGGAGATGAATGAAGGAATCACGTGTAAGAAGAGCGAGAGTACGCAAAGCAGCAACTGTAGCGTAGCAGGAGTGAGTGAGCTGCTTACAGCCTGGAGAGACGAGAGAGCGTGGAGAGACCTTGTGGCAGTGACCCAGTGAGTTGGTTGAAGTCGAGAACACTGTGGTGGGGGCAGGGGGAGAGGGAAGGAGGGGGAGATGGAATGGGGAGAAGGGGAGAGTAAAGAGGTTAGAGTGAGTCAGTGATCCGGTGAGTTGGTTGCAAGCGAGAACACTGTGGTGTGGGATGGTGTCAGAGCGACGACAGAGCTGATGATGAATAGGATTGGTTAGAGTGGACGAGAGTGGGGAGGTAGATTGCTGTGGACATGTGTTAGGGCGCACACACACACACGCACGCACACTCACACACACGCGCGCGTGCGCGTGCGCACACACACACTCACACCCACACACACACTCACACACACTCACACACACTCACACACACTCACACACACTCTCACTCATTCACACTCACATTCACACTCACACTCACACACACTCAATCCCACACACTCACACTCATTCACACTTACATTCACACTCACAACCACACCCACACACACTCACAGTCACACACACACACACTCACATGTCATTGAGAGCTGTGAGCGCAGTGATGGTGGAAGGCAGTTCCCCTGTGAGCGAGTTGCTCCACAGACTACTGCTCTCACAAGGCGGCGCAGTACGGTGGAGAGGCATGCAGGCAGGTGGGATGCGGCATGCACATACACAGATGGGGATGATTGGAGATGCATGTGTGTTGTATGCCATAATACGCTTTGATCTGCTGAAAATATTTCAGAACCTCTCAAGGGGACAGTTGAAATGTTATGAAGCGAGAGAGAAACAGAAGGATGAAGAGGTAACGGTAAAAGGAGCACAAATGGAGGGACAGACGGGAGAAATGTGAGACAGATGAGGGAAGGTCAAGAGAGCGGTAAGGGTAACGAGACTGACAGGGGTTAAGAGGATATTCGTGCATTCAGGCAAGTAAGAATTCCGTACAGGTAGGAGAGATTGATAAATGATCCGAGGGATGTCGGTAGCGAGCCTGACAGCCCCATTTCATCCAACACCCTGCATTGATGCCGCATCATGCAAGGATGGATATGGTACGCGAGGTCATTCTGTACTCTTGTATGATGCATGTTCTGAGTCGACTCAAAACACGGCTCATTTCACGCGGATTATTTTGAGTCGACTCAAAACATGGATATGGTACACGAGGTCATTCTGTACTCTTGTAAGGTGTATGATGCAGGTAGGCTAGGCGGTCACTGCATTACCCTATGGTACCAGCACATGCTGGTAACAACACAGTGAATTTCGTGGCCATAGATTCCAGAAAATAAGAACAAAGAAAGAAAAAGAAGATAATAATTCAAAGCGAGTGATATGTAGCTCGAACTCTGGAGTACGCGTTGAAGCGAAGGGTGTGTGCCTCACATGCTGGTAACCATTCCGTTACTGTCACATGTGAGGCCATCCGCCTGGCTACAGTCACCGCCCTCCTGCCATTGGTTGAGTGTGACTCCCCATGCGGCCTGACAATCAAGCAACCCGGGAACTGGAAAGAGGAAAAGAGAACGGCTTTAAAGCCCGAGTCTAGAATGGCAAGGGCTCAAGTTCAAGATTCTTGAAGCTGAAATCGCCAAAAACAGGGTAACCCGGTTGGGGCTTTCCCACCCTCGCAACCACCGGAAACAGTTTCTGGGAGGGGGATTCTGATTGGCTGAGATGAACACAGGCAAAATTATCAACCCTCTCGCCACAAAAGCCAACCACGCAGACTACTGTTCATACTTTAGCAAACTTGAAAGTGAAACTGACCATACTAGACTCGATATCTAGGAGGCTCCATAGCTTAGAAAGCGAACGTGTCTGCTAGCGCACTCATTCCCGCTCGTTCATCCCGTCTCGCCCGTTCGTATTGTCCCTCCTATTTATCTCGCCCTCCCCGTCACTCCCATTCCCTCACAAGGTCACAAACTCGCGTCACTCTTTTTTCAGGACTGCCGCCGTAACACACGACTCGCCTTGACTAAGAGCTCTTGTGACGGTCGGAATGGTGGTCGTCAACCACCATTCCGACCGTAGGCGGTTCAGGGGCACTCCAGTTCCATCTTTCGCGGCCAATGTCACTTCCGTTCCCAATGTCGTGACGGTCACGACCATCAATAGCGTCGCGGCGGCAAATGCCATTTCCATCGTCGCGGCGGTACCGTCGCCTCCCATCACCGCCTTTTCGTCGCCCTCCCTTCCCCTGCCCGTCGCGCTCCCTTCCCTGCCCATCGCGCTCCCTTCCCTACCCGTGGCGCTCCCTTCCGTCATTCCCGACACATATTGCCTTCTCGTCATTCTCCCTTTTCGTGGCTCTTTTTTTTTTTTTTCCTGCACGTCGCCCTCGCTTCCCCTCCCCGTCGCGCTCCCTTTCCCTCCCCGTCGTGCTCCCTTCCCCTCCCCGTCGTGCTCCCTTCCCCTCCCCGTCGTGCTCCTTCCCCTCCCCGTCTCGTTCCCTTCCCCTCCCCGTCTCGTTCCCTTCCCCTCCCCGTCTCGTTCCCTTCCCCTCCCCGTCTCGTTCCCTTCCCCTCCCCGTCTCGTTCCCTTCCCCTCCCCGTCTCGTTCCCTTCCCCTCCCCGTCTCGTTCCCTTCCCCTCCCCGTCTCGTTCCCTTCCCCTCCCCGTCTCGTGCCCTTGCCCTTCCCTTCTTTCCTCTCTTGTTCCTCGCCTTACCCTTGCATTCCACCGAGCACTGCATCCCGTTTCGTCATTTTCGCCAAGTCCGCTTCCCACCACTCTCGTTTCCCCCCTTGTACTTTCCCCCGTTCCCCCACTGCCCCCCCTTTCTTTTCCCGTGTCTCCCTTTTCGCCCATGTTTCTCCCGCCTTTCCACCCTGTCCTGAAGTCCCTTGTCCCCGCTGACCTTCCCACCGTTTTCCCCCTCCCCCCTCCCTCCCTTTCCCTCGTGTCCTCCCACCCCTTGCCCCTCAATCCCTGACTCCTTGTCCTGCCCTCCCTTCCTCTTAGCCCGCCCAGCCTCAATCCCAAGGCCCTTGTCCCTCCCCCCTTCCCCCCCCATGTCCTTCCCTCCGGTTCCTCCGGATCCGTTTCCCTTCTTGTCCATTTCGTTTTTCCTTTCCCCACCTCCCGTCCCTCCGATTTCCGCTCTTGTCCCTCCCCTTCCCCCTTGTCCTTCCTTCCGTTTCCCCCCTTGTTTTCCCTCCCTTTTCCCTAGTCCTTTCCTCCGTTTCCCCCTTCTCCCTCTGACTCGCCCTCCCTCTCCCTCCACGCTTCTCGCCCTTATCCCCACACATGTCCTCCTCCTTTCCCTCCCATCTCTCAACGAACCCTCTCTTTCCTCCCCTCCCCCCTTGCTCCATTTCTTCTAATTTCCGCCCTTCCCCCTCTTCGCCTCTCCTTCCCTCCCTCGCTGTCCCTCTCTCTTCGCCTCTCCTTCCCTCCCTCGCTGTCCCTCACTCTTCGCCTCTCCTTCCCTCCCTCGTTGTCCCTCTCTCTTCGCCTCTCCTTCCCTCCCTCGCTGTCCCTCTCTCTTCGCCTCTCCTTCCCTCCCTCGCTGTCCCTCTCTCTTCGCCTCTCCTTCCCTCCCTCGCTGTCCCTCTCTCTTCGCCTCTCCTTCCCTCCCTTGCTGTCCCTCACCCTTCGCCTCTCCTTCCCTCCCTCGCTGTCCCTCTCTCTTTGCCTCTCCTTCCCTCCCTCGTTGTCCCTCTCTCTTCGCCTCTCCTTCCCTCCCTCGCTGTCCCTCTCTCTTCGCCTCTCCTTCCTCCCTCGCTGTCCCTCTCTCTTCGCCTCTCCTTCCCTCCCTCGCTGTCCCTCTCTCTTCGTCTCTCCTTCCCTCCCTCGCTGTCCCTCTCTCTTCGCCTCCCGTCCCTTCCCTCTCTGCTGGCCCCTTCGCTCTTTTCCCTCTCAGCCCCTCTCCTCCTTTCTCTCTCAGCCCCTCTCCTCCTTTCTCTCTCAGCCCCTCTCCTCCTTTCTCTCTCAGCCCCTCTCCTCCTTTCTCTCTCAGCCCCTCTCCGCCTTTCCCTCTCAGCCCCTCTCCTCCTTTCTCTCTCAGCCCCTCTCCTCCTTTCTCTCTCAGCCCCTCTCCTCCTTTCTCACTCAGCCCCTCTCCTCCTTTCTCTCTCAGCCCCTCTCCGCCTTTCCCTCTCAGCCCCTCTCCTCCTTTCTCTCTCAGCCCCTCTCCGCCTTTCCCTCTCAGCCCCTCTCCTCCTTTCCCTCTCAGCCCCTCTCCTCCTTTCTCTCTCAGCCCCTCTCCTCCTTTCTCTCTCAGCCCCTCTCCTCCTTTCTCTCTCAGCCTCTCCCCTCCCCTCCCCTCCCTCTCCTCTAAAACCCTGGTGTGTGTGTGTGTGCGCAGCTGCTATGGGTAACCCCGCCGTGCCCGCGCTCTGCTCACTCACACACGATGCTCACTCACACACGATGCTCACTCACACACCATGCTCACTCACACACCATGCTCACTCACACACGATGCTCACTCACACACCATGCTCACTCACACACGATGCTCACTCACACACCATGCTCACTCACACACCATGCTCACTCACACACCATGCTCACTCACACACCATGCTCACTCACACACCATGCTCACTCACACACCATGCTCACTCACACACCATGCTCACTCACACACCATGCTCACTCACACACCATGCTCACTCACACACCATGCTCACTCAACACCATGCTCACTCATACACCATGCTCACTCACACACGATGCTCACTCACACACCCTGCTCACTCACACACCATGCTCCCTTACACACCATGATCACTCACACACCATGCTCACTCACACACCCTGCTCACTCACACACCCTGCTCACTCACACCCTGCTCACTCACACACCATGCTCACTCACACACCATGCTCACTCACACACCATGCTCACTCACACACCCTGCTCACTCACACACCCTGCTCACTCACACACCCTGCTCCCTTACACACCATGCTCACTCCTCTGTTCACTCTGTCATCTGCATACTCTGTCCTGTTCCTATTCTGATGTAATTTTAGGTAAATCGAGAGGTCTTGCGTTATCCAGATTCATACATAATGTTGGCTCTCGCCTCCCTTGCACTGCCACTCTCTTGTATGTTTACCTGCTATTTAGTCATGTCACATCTTATTTCCTGGTTTGTGTTTGTACAGGCCCTCTATGCATCTGGTTGTGGTGATGTGTTGGTGTTTGATAGTACCACGAACTAGCCATGCCATGTATTGATGTTGGATGCTTTGTTATAATACAAACCCTGAGCTTAGGAGCTGCCGTGCACCTGACCACTACAAAAAAGTGCAACACAGAAACAATTTTCTTTTGTAAGGGAACAACTGATGATCAACCCAAAGATGACAGCTAGGAAATGTTTCTTTTTTTATCCACTCTTGTCTGCTACACTGCTTGCAATAAACGCTGGGCCATGGTGCTGGGACTTGTATTCTGCGGGGTTGGAAATGGGGGTGAGTGAAAGGGAAACAGAGAACGAAAGCGAATAGGGGGAAGAGAATGAGCAGGTGAAACGGAGTGAGCAAAGGGGAAGAGAATGAGCAGGTGAAACGGAGTGAGCAAAGGGGAAGAGAATGAGCAGGTGAAACGGAGTGAGCAAAGGGGAAGAGAATGAGCAGGTGAAACGGAGTGAGCAAAGGGGAAGAGAATGAGCAGGGGAAGCAGAGTGGGGCGGGGGGAGGAGAATGAGCAGGGGAAGCAGAGTGGGGCGGGGGGAGGAGAATGAGCAGGGGAAGCAGAGTGGGGCGGGGGGAGGAGAATGAGCAGGGGAAGCAGAGTGGGGCGGGGGGAGGAGAATGAGCAGGGGAAGCAGAGTGGGGCGGGGGGAGGAGAATGAGCAGGGGAAGCAGAGTGGGGCGGGGGGAGGAGAATGAGCAGGGGAAGCAGAGTGGGGCGGGGGGAGGAATCAGCAGGGCGATGGGAGGGGGAAGCGAGGGCGACAGGAAGGGGAAGCGAGGGCGATGGGATGGGGACGGGAGGGGGATGGGAGGGGGATGGGAGGGGGATGGGAGGGAGATGGGAAGGGGGTGGGAGGGAGATGGGAAGGGGATGGGAGCGCAAGGGGAGGGGGACGCGAGGGGGACGCGAGGGGGATGGGAGGGGGACGGGACGGGGATGGAAGGGCGACGGGGGGGGAAAGCGAGGGCGACGGGAGGGGGAAGCGAGGGCGACGGGAGTGGGAAACGAGGGCGACGGGAGGGGGAAGAGAGGGCGACGGGAGGGGGAAGCGAGGGCGACGGGAGTGGGAAACGAGGTCGACAACTCTCTACTTTTTCATCCCGTGCCGCTCATTATCTCCGTGCTTCACACTCGCATCGTTCGCGCCACATTCCCTCCCTCGGTCCTCGGATTCTTCACGATTATGGCGGCACCGTATATGTTCTCACATGTTATACCTAGCTATCTTAGTCTGGATGCTTAGTTTCGTAAACTGATGTTCTTTCTATCTACTGGTACTACTTACGCACGCTTTGAGTTGTGCGCTGTGTGAGAGTGGTTGAGTTTTGTTTTGTCGTTGGTGCTTGTTCAATACAGTGTATTGCGATAAACTGGAGCATTAGTCCTTCGCCACCTGCCGCTTGCGAATTTTCCTCTCGTCAACCTTCGCACAACCCTTTTCAAGTTCAGTAATTCTGAACCTTTGCCATTCTAGGCGCCGGCTTTAAAGTGGAAATTTATGGTATTGTGGCCCAATGTGGCTCAGTGGCTGTCAGGCAATGGGAATTGGAACGAGGAAGAGATAAATAGCTTCTGTTTACGACCCTGGAAACCAGAATTGATACTGGCAAACAAAATCTTTGACAGCAGGAACTTGAAACAACATTCAGTGACAATTTTTGTGAAAGCCTGGATTGAAAAGCATCATTCACGAATAGAATTCGTAAAACGCGGAGCACGGAGAGCGACGAAACGGCTCTTGAGTCAACGGAAAAGTCAACTCGAAAATCTGTAACTAAAGCATCATTCACTGATTGAATTCGTGAAACGCGGCGGAGCACGGAGAGCGACGAAGCGAACATGCCTTGGGATGGAGCTATGGTCTGGCCGCTCGCGACCGCAATCCACGCTGCGGAATGACTCAACAGCGCGGCCACCACGAGCGACACGTGCGCTCCTGGGAGCACGGCGAACACGGAAGCACGCTTGCGAGAACAGCTCCATGATTTGGCCCGAGCGGGAGGCATTGAATTGAGCCGCTGGAAATACAAACGCCGACTGATGAGTCTACGCACCACGTGTGCTTTACGCGCGCCGGACCAGACTGCTAGGCGGCTTAGGAACGTATTTGTTCGGCAAAAAGTCACCTTGTGCCTGACACCGAATACGGGCAAGGAGTCTGGGCTATGTTGGTGGGTGGTTTTGGCTCGACAGCAGGCCAGCCAATTGTCGGTGCTGCTGGAATGGGAGTGAGTGTAGCAGGTTTGCTTGACTCGGGTCGGAGCTCCCTTGGGATTTTCCAAATTGGCGGCTGTAGCTTGCTCCGCTAAGGATCAAGTTATGATTCTTCTAGGATTGCAATGGAGTGAGATAACTAGAAATGGAGTGCAAGTTACAATTTTGGATGATAGAGCAGAGTTTCCTATCTTAGAGTTGGTTTCTGCGAGAAACCACGACGCAGGGTGGATTATGCGCTTATGAGTCTCCATGAGGCAGAAGTATATGAGATACAGAATATTTATCTGACTCACATGTATACCAGTTCTGTATTTGCTTGCGGAGCAGTCAATCAGGAAATGTGCCTTGCCAGTCAGTTTTGCGAGGGCTATGAAATTCTCTTGAGTCGGTCGTGCGAGTCTTTGGCGCAGGCGGAAAATCCCGCCAAGGGCAAACCCACGTTCTCCCCCTCGTCCCACACGTCGCAGCGCCTTCACCCCTCCCCCGAACGTGCCATGTCGGAGACCCAAACCTAGCACACGCCACTCTCCCCTGAGCTTCCACAACTTCGAGTCGCCCAACATTCGCCCAACATGCGGCGCGATAGCAATTGACATTCTGCCTCACACGATTTCATTCAGTATGCGCCCACCGCAGAAGATGGTAGTCAAGGCACCGAGACCATACTCTCACCCCATCGCCGTTCTTCCTCCATTCGTGCCACATTTCACAACAGGAAATTTGCCCCTCTTCCATCGTAGCCTTTTCCCTCCATGCATCTGCAGTAGCCTTTTTTCCTCCATTCCATGCATCCGCAGCGTCTTCTCGACACGCTGCAGTAGGAATCATCAGTCAACCTTGCTCTAGCTGAGGTTCATCACCCCCTTTGCCCTTGCCCTGTGTAATTCACATCAGGAACTCTAAGGAACTGATACTCCGCTGTTCAATAGCTTCCGTAACTTCCGTAGCTTTCATAGCTTCCGTCGCCTTGCACCAATGGCCGCCTGAATTCATCGAAATTCCCTGGTCATAGTACAAATCGTGAGCGGGGAAACCAGGTGACGACGATGTCGCACTTTGTATCCTCCGAGGCGGGAAAAACAGACAGACGCACATCCGCACCATCCGTACGATCCCGACCGTCCAGTCCTCACACGCCGCGATTCAACCCTTTCGGCGCATCCAAATCTAAACCTGCCCCCAAGTCTCCCTCCGCGCATCCCGATGGCTCCGCGCCCAAACTCCTCGGCTTTCGCCGAAGCTTCTTCTCCCCGCGGTCCGCCTCGCGCCGCGTCCACAACGTTCCTGAGATGCTCGTGTCGGCTTCCATGGCTTACGCCACGGCACAAGTCCAGGCGGATATCCTGGCGGGAATCCCGGCGGAAAAAGAGCGGAGGATCGACGGGAGATTGGTAAACCGAGAGCGCGGGGAACTCGAATTCGCCGCATACTCCCCCGCTTCGAGCCTCTCGTCGTCTGCGCGGCCCTCGCAGTTTCCGCGCAGCGCCATTCCATCTCTTGACCTCGGCCCGCTGCCGTCGAACGCGGATGCGCGCAATCCGCCGGCCAAGGTCGCGCGCGGCAGAGCGGGAGCTTCGGCGGAGAAGCCAAAGCTGACTGGGCGGGCAGGCGCGGGGAAAGGGACTGTGCGGGAAGGGACGGCCGGGGGTGAAGCAGGTGTGAAACCGACAGAGTTGAAGGAAGAAAGTTTCCTCAGAGAAGGCGAATCTTTCCCGAAAACTCTTCGTACAGGTGGTTACTTTGATTGCGAAGATGAAGTGGATATGCTTCGACACAAGCTAGAACCATCTACCGAGGAGGAGATTAACGCTGAAGCGGTTCATCGTAAGGAAATAGAGGATCAAAGGCTTAAACTGGTTTTGGCGGACGAGGAGTCGGATGCGGAAGGACCGGTGAGCGCGCGGAAGGATGGGGAGCTGGCGGCGGGGGAAGAAACGGCAGAGGTAACAATTGCGGAACGAGACGCGGAGACCGACACGGAGACAAAGGAGACGCGGCTCCGTCGATTTCTCGATGACTCTGTTGACTGCGTTGACTGTGCTGAACCTGCTGATTGTGTTGACAGCTCCCGAATTGGAAGTTCAAACGGGCCGGAAGCCGTTTCCGCTGCTGATGCTCCAACCAAGCGGACGCGGAAGAATGCGCGGAAATCTCGGGGGAAGAAGGGGGTCAAGAAGTCCGCGGGAAAGAAACAGAGCCACGGCGTTGCGGAAAAAGAACGGCGAGCGCAGAATCCCGACGCAGCGACGGCGGCAGTCGAGGCGCATGCTGACGTGGCTTCCGAACCCGCAGCGACGAGGGGAACAAACGGCTTGCTGGCGTCCCCGCTCGCGTCCGCTGCGGAGTCCGCACCGGCGGAACGAATCTGCGCGGATGCGGAAAACAGCGCGGAGGGGGAGCGTGATCAAGAATTGGCGACTGGAGAAGCAACGGGCAGACACGACGCGGAGCTGGCGCGGTCGGGAGTGGCGGAAGGCAGCGCGATTGCGGATAACAGCGCAGTGGCGGAAGGCAGCGCGATTGCGGAAAACAGCGCAGTGGCGGAAAGCACCGCGCGGACGGAAAACGTGGCGCAATGCCTGTACGCCAAAGGCGCGATTACGGCGGACGAGGCGGAATCTAAAGCGGTGGCAACAAACGAACGTTGTCGCCTTATCGATGTGACTACTAGTGAATCATGCGGTGATGACGTGGAGGAGGAGCTCCGCGCTTGTCTGGCAAGAATGGCGGCGGACGAGGAGGAGGACATTCGGCGGGAGCTAGAAGATGCGTTGATGCCCGGATCGAGCGACGGGGAAGCGGGAGAGGCGGAAGCTGAGGAAATCCGGGGAGAAGGAGAACGAGGAGAAGACGGAGGAGCAGGAGGAGGAATAGGAGAGGAAAGAATGGGGGAAGTAGTAAGAGAAGCAGCAGGAGAGTTTATTGTAGAGGATTGCGAAGAGAAAGGGGAAGGAGAGGCGTGGGAAACGGGGGAGCGTGAGCGGGGTTCGACTGTGGACGTTGGCGGAGAAACGGAAGGTGAGGGTAGCGAGTGTGACGATAAGGATGCGTTTCTGGAGCTGGAAATCGATTTGATTGCGCTGCAGGAAGAGGCGGAGAAGGCGGAAGAGGAGGAGGGAGAAGAGGAAGAAGACGAAGAGGAGGACGGGGCGGCGGGAAATGCGGAGGATGAGGCGGGAGAGGGGAAGGGTGACAAAGAGGAGGATGCGGTGCTGGTCGATGGAGCGGGAGCGGAAGAGGAGGCGGAAACGGAAACGGAAGCGGAAGCGAAAGCGGAGGCGCCATGCGAAGATGATGCGGACGCCTCGGGAAACGCGGCGGAAGCAAAGGCGCTGCCGCAGCAGGAGGAGAAAATCGAGTCTGAGTCCACTTCTGGTGAAGAGGAGGCGGGAGCAGCGGAGAATAAGCAGGAAAACGGCGAAAATCATTTTCTGGAAGGGAAGGACCCGGAGTGTGTCTTCGATGCGCCTCGAGAGCGATTTCGTTCTCCGGAGCGGGCTCATCTTGCCGAGGCGGAGGAGGACGCGGAGTGGATTGCGCTTCTCGAAGAAAGCCTAGCGGAACGCGCGCGGGAGCGGCAGCGGGAGGCGGCGGAACGAGAAGTGGCGGAACGAGAGGCGGCGGAACGAGACGCCGGGCAGGTTGCGGGCGGTGGCGGTGTGAATCCCTTTGCGCTAGCGCCAGAGGAGAGCGAGGCGGAGAGCGAGGCGAAGGCGGAGGTGGAGTCGGAGGGGGAGTCGGAGGGGGAGGCGGAGGGGGAGGCGGAAGGGGAGGCGGAGAGCAACGAGGAGAGTAAGGCGGCGAGCGAGGCGGCGAGCGAGGCAGCGAGGGAGGCGGAGAGGGAGGCGGAGAGTGAGGCGGAGAGTGCGGCGGAAGAAATCGAGATGATCAGCCCGAGAGGAAGCGCGCCGAGCGGCGAAATTGCGCTCGTCGCTTCGCCGTGTGAGGGGATGACGGCTGGTGAAGCGGAGAGTGTGGACGAAAGTGACGTGGTGGAGGACGAAACCAACGTGGATGAGGAGCAGAGTGACACAGAGGAGGATGAGAGTGACGTGGAGGAGGAGCAAAGTGACGTGGAGCAGAGTGATGCAGAGGAAGACGAGAGTGACGTGGAGGAGCATGAGAGTGACGTGGAGGAGGAGGAAAGTGACGTGGAGAAGGAGCAAAGTGACGTGGAGGAGGAGCAAAGTGACGTGGAGGAGCAGCAAAGTGACGTGGAGGAGGAGCAAAGTGACGTGGAGGAGGAGCAAAGGGACGTGGAGGAGGAGCAAAGTGACGTGGAAGAGATTGAGATGATCAGCAATCCGCGGAGTATGGGGGAAGCGAGAGGCGGAGTGAGAAGGCGGGAGGGGAGTTTGCCGGTGAAACCATTGGAGGCGATGGGGTTGATGATGCTGATGAGACTGATGAGGTGGAGATGAAGGGGCGGGGAGAAGAGAAAGAGGAGGAAGAGGAACGGGAGAGAGAGGAGGGGGAGAAAGAAGTGGAGGAGGAGGGAGGTGAGGAAGCAGCTGTGTCTTCGCCCTTTCCTTCGCCCCTCCTTTCGCCACACCAGTCCGACGCCTCGTGTCGGTCAAGTGGGTCAAAGAACTCGGTCAAGTCAATCCAGTCAAGGCGATCAGCAAACTCTCGGACTTCACGTGCATCTCAAGAGTCCAGAAAGTCAACGGTGTCAAACAAAGCAGAAAGATCCCAAAAGTCATTCCAGTCAACGCACTCCAAGGCGTCAACCCGAGCAGCTGCCGCCCAGCCTGACCCCACTTCAACCACTTCTGCCGCCCAGATTGATCGTACCTCCACCACATCTGCCGCCCAGCCATTCCCTCTGTTCACCACGATGACATCACCCGCGGCTGCAACTGCCAGTCGTACCGAGCCGGCCTTCTCCCTGCCTGCCGCTGCTGACGTGGCAGTGTTCAGGTTCGGTAAGTCCGAGAACCAGGGGAGTGAGAGAAGGGGAGGGAGGGAGAGGAGGAGGGTGGGAGGACGGATAGTAGCAGCTAGGGTAGTGGGAAGAAGGGATTTCGATGAAGGAGCAGCGGGAGTAGTAGGAGAGAAAACGTTGAAGGGCACTGGGAAAGGAGGAGGGGGAGGAGAGAAGAGGAGAGTGAAGAAGAGGCAGCGCGTGAGAGGGGAGGATTCAGATGGGAGTGAGAGTGAGGGAAGTGAGTGTGGAACGGTGCAGAGCGGTGGAGTTGCTCCAGGTGCTGCTGCTGTTTCTGCTACCGCTGCTACTGCTACTGGTGTGGTGGTAACCTGTGGGACTGCTGCAACTGCTGTCGTTGGCGTTGCTAGCAGACGGCTATCACAGGAGAAGGAAAAGGACGAGGAGGAGGAGGAGGAGGGAGAGCAGCAGCAGCAGAAGGAGAAGCAGGAGGAGAAGAAAGGGCAGCAGAGGCAGGGCAACGGATCCTTGCCGTCATCTCCCGCTGTCAGCCAGACACGTGGCGTTAGCAGCCCGAATCAGAAGCAGACACGTGGCATCAGCAGCCCAACTCAAAAGCAGACACGTGGCAGCTGCAGTGGCACACGTGGCGTGAGCAGTCCGGCAATAAGCGGCAGCAGCAGCCCGATGATCATCAACCACTGCAGCAGCACCAGCAGCACTTATGTAAGACTTGGTAGCAGTACCAGCAGCACTTACACGAAGCTGGGTGGGAGCAGCACCAGCAGACGCAGCCAGGCAGTCACGTCTGCCAGTAGCAGGAGCAGCAAGGGTGTAACGGGTAAGACTATAACGAATAGCGTGCACATGGCAATAACGAGCCCTGCGGGCACCATAAACGGTACTAAGGGGGTAATAAGGAGCCCTGACGGCACTATAAACGATATCCAAGGGGCAATAACGAGTACAAAGCAGGGGAAGTGCAAAGGGGGCAGCAAAGGGGAGGGTGTGAGGAGAAGTGGTGGCAATGCTGTTGCTGCTGCTCGTTCGTGTGACCACTACTGCACAACGGTTTATAGCGAGGAGGGGGTGTGTAGCGAGTCAGAGAGTGGTGCCACTAACGGGTGTGGCAATAAAGAGGCCAGCGGCAGCAGCAGCAGGAGGCGGAGTGCCGTTGGGGGTGTGGAAGGCGACAGCAGGGCAAGGAGCAAGGCAAGGAGCAAGGAGCAAAGTGACGGTGAGAGAGGACTGAAGGGTAGCAGCAGCAGAAGCGTCAGCATCACCAGCATCAGCAGCAGCGTCGGTGGCAGCAGCAGCGTTGGTGGGGCCAACAGCGTTGGTGGGGCCAACAGCACGGCACAATCACGGAGCTTGTTAAAATCACCGGGCCCGACAAAGTCACCGAGCATGAGAGCAGTTAGCGTTAAGGAAATTAGCAGCAGAGTCGCTAGCAGCAGGAGCACCAGCATCACCAGCATCAGCAGCAGCATCGCTTCTGCGGGCGGCAACAGCACGGCCAAATCACTGAGCACGGTACGATCACCGAAAGCAATCAGCATAAGGGAGATCGGCAGCAGCAGGGCACGCAGCAGCAACAGCAACAGCAGTAACTCCACAGCATCAAGCAAGATGCTGCTACCACCCAAGTACATTCCTGTCCGCCCCGCCCCTGCTACAACCCCTGCTACTGCTACAACCGCTGCTGCAGCCGCTGCTACAATCCCTGCTACAGCCGCTGCAACAGCCCCTGCTACCACCACTGCCGCAGCCCCTGCTACAGCTGCTGCTACATCCGCTGCTACAACCCCCCCTCTCCCCCCTTCCCTCACCCGCGCCATCACCACCCACAGCGCCCTCTCCACCCTCTCCACCCACTCTGCCCTCCCCCCGCCCAGCCCCTCCACGTCCTTCCCCTCCCCCGCGCTCAGCGCGCACCACCTGCTCTCCGTCTTCCCCCCGCCCTCCCCTGACGCGGCCCTGCGCTTCCTCTGCTCCCCCTCCTTCCCCCCGCCCTCCCCCGGGTGGCCCCTGCGGAAAATCCGCGTGGTGGGGGGAAACAGGCGCCCTGTGTACTCCCCCGTGCATAGGCTCAGCAGGGGGGGCGGGAGGGGAGCAGGGGGAGGGGGGGATGCGGGCGGGAATAGGTGCGGGGGGGAGGAGGGCGTTGGGGGGTGTGGGAAGTGTGGAGGGGAATACAAGATGTGTAGACCTTTGGGGAGGCTTGAGGAGGGAGAGGGGAATGAGGGGGAGGAGGGAGGGCGGAGAGGAGAGGAGAGGGGGAGGAAGAGGAGTGGGAAGGTGAGATGGAGCAAGGTGGTATCGATGCCTGCTGCCATGTTCACTCGAAACGAGTTTGACACAAGGAGGGGTCGTTTGGATACGGCAGGGGCGAACGGGGCAACAACAACAACAACAAGTCCAGCAACGACAAGAAGCCAGGAGGAGGAGCGAGTGGAGGAGAGCGGCGAGAAGGGAAGCAGCAGCAGCAAGAGGAAACCGCAGAGCATTCTGAAGAGCATTCGGAAGATCCGATGTGAGTCAACCCAACCCCCCCTCCCCTCCCCCCTCCCCCTGCCAAACCTGGTGCGCTCCAGTTTCCTGCCCACTCTTGATCGCGGCACCTCACGGATAATTCCATGCATTGCCACATCCACCGATGCTTTACAGGTCATTTAAGCATCCTAAACTGTGTCCCCTTCCTAAACCCTAAACCCTGTCCCTCTATCTCCGCTTGCCTCTCTCCCGTTTGCCCCACCAGTGCGGCCAGCTGTAATCCTTCTTGCCTACTGGAGGACCATCCGCAACAGCACACGACCAGCCTTCATCTTCCGGAAGGCAATCAAATCCACACCGGTAAGAGCACTATGTCTACAGCCTCGCATGTACTTTTGATGTTCTTTGTTTGGCGTGGGCTCACTTGCAACTCTTGGATGTTGCCCTTTTCAGGAATGAATGTGGTTGGGTGAGCCGAGCTGCCTTGTGTTTTTATCAGGGGTGTACAATATCGCTGCTTGTGAACTTTTGCAACCTCTTGAATAAATCAGGCGAACTCTGCCATGGTGTGGTGAAACTGCTTGCCTTAGCTGTAAATGCGTGCCAGTTCTTCATGCTTAAAGTACCTTATGCTTTTTTTTTTTTAGCTTCCATCACCTTTCATGTCTGTAAAGTAAACAAGAACTAAAGCACAAATCACTCTTGCTGAACCAATGCGCATACCGGATATAACACCCCACACAAGTGCCAGCGGTTTTGCATTCGACGCACGAGTGGTCGGCGAGTAAGCTCTCGCAACTAGACGTGACGGTGGCATGCGACAACCGCGAGGGGTAACCGGTCGTAAGCGACAAGCTGACAACGCCTATCACAAAACCCAAACACAGAAAGACGAGATTTCAGCAAGTTACCGACGGCATTATGAGCTGCCAATAGGAGAAGAACGGAGCCGCGTGGTGACAACTGGCAACGGTAGCCGGCTATGCAACGACAAAACGTTTCGGATACGACAGCGCCCCTCCGTCATAAGAGGGGGCTGCGACGCTGAGGGTAGCGATGCCAACCCGAGGGTCGCGATGCGGGGTGGCATGGCGTAGGCTTGGCGCTAAAGCTCTTTCTGTAAAAGAACCCTCTGGGGATTGACGCGACGCGTAAGAGGCGAGGACCGCGGGAGAGACCTGCGAGCTTCCACCAAGAAGTGCCTCCCGCGACTCGACGCCATACGGTTCATTCTTCCGAGCCCTGAACGTTTGGAGGGCCACCTAAGCCTGTCATCGCAAAATACGACCGCTGAAAAAGAGAACTACAAATTTCAAGAATCAAGAATCAGATTTCAAAAATCTTGTTGCAAGAATTGCTGAGTTATCGTGAGAAAGCAAGAAAGCATACAGGTTATTCGTACAATGGATTCTAACTTTCACCCTCCTCATCCATTTCGCTCTCTCTCGCTTCTTCTACTGCTTCTGCTGCTGTCGTTAGGCGGCGTGCAGCAGGCCGACGCTTCACCCCCCACGAACGAGCAGATGCGGGAGGAGGTCGCTGGCCTTCAACTCGCTGCTGCTGCCAGGCCTCGCTACTCCATCGCTGCGAGGTTCCTCAAACGGGCGAGTGAGGGTCTTTGCTCTGAACTCACACGTTTACACGCACCCTGTTATTCAGTGTGACCTGAAGTGACCGTTTCTTGGCGACGCCTTGAATGATGGTGAGCAAGGAGTGTGACTGACCTGATGTGATCTTACCCTATGTGCTTCACCAGATGTGACTTGGCTTGATGTGAGCATGCTATGCTTTGGCACCGCTGCACATGCCACACTCTTCAGATGTGCTTCTGAACTCTGTGTCCCTTCTGCACATATCTTTCCTGTTCGTTCCCCCTCATCATTTTCCCCCCTGCTTCTATTTCCCTTTCCAGATTAGAGGGTTTTCCGAAGGTCCAATTTTCCCCTGTGGACTCATGCCTCGTCACGTCTTTGTTCACCCACTTTCCTTTATCTCCCTTCACTCCCGTGTCAGCTATCTACTTTTTATCTGCGCCTTCATTCCCTGTGCCTTCCCTCCCACCTTTCCCTTTCTGTGTGCTCCCCCTTTCCATCCAGTCGAGGATCCCAATACCAACTACACCCTAATCCAGAACACAACCATATTACTTCCATCCAACCAGGCATTAATCGACACCCTGCTGCGAGTTTGGGACAATGGAACAGAGTGGGTGCGTACACTCTCTTACAACATTATCAATGGCTTGTACACGCTCCTTCAGCTGCGCCAGCTGCCACGTAACGCCCAGATTCCAACATTGTTGGAAGGTGCAAACCTGACCAAGTTCAATCCTAGGTTCAGTGTAGCGCTTGGTCAGCCGGGAACGAAGCTGTTTACTTGGGCAGTGGTGAAAATTCCCAACCTGCACAACGGGGTGTTTCTCAAAGCACATGGTGTGGATAGGTGGGTTGTGCCACCAGTGGAATAGCCCCTGCTTGTGTGCAGAGTAGGGCACATTGCGTGCCTATCTACTTTTTCCTGCTTTGTTTTATCACAATAAATGCACATTCCTGTCACACCTCAACAACCTAGTCGTATTACATTTAGCTAACTATGGTTATAATCACACAAAGTTTAATCATATGTAAGTTGCAGGACCCATGATCAGTGTACCATACCCTTCATTTCAGCACTATCACTTTGAAGCACAATGTCAGTGACCTGTTCAAGAATCGCAACGGTACGGCAATTCCGTGCGCACGAGGGGCCCGATTCGGCCATGACTTTCGCGCGTTGCGCGATTTGGCTCACAAATAGATTCCCAGCATTAATTTTCTGCACTCCCTCGCCCCCTGCACCCCCATCCGCATCACCCTTCCATCAAATCACACATTCCCGTTCTCTTCCGTTTCCCGTTCTCACCATTCCATCTGATTTCCATCCATTGCTTCCTTGCATGCATTGCATTGCATTGCATCATCCGTCCATCAAGCATTCCATGCACGCAGTGTGGAATGCAGCTTGCACCCTTGAATCTTGCACCCACAGCGAAACTCGGGAAAATAGCTTAGCTCGCTCCAGGATAGAACGATGCGAAGTAGCATCATAGCTGGGACCTTCCCAAATGCGCCGTAGATGCTAAGAAGCTGACTCAGAAAATGCTGGCATTTTGAATGCAGCATTGTGACTCTCCCACGCCACCTCGCCTCAGCCGACTGTGTTACGAAGCGCGCCGAGCTGGGCGAACAGTGCACAGGGCGGCGGAAGATCGAATCGGGAAGCTTTCTGAGAGAAGCGGGAGGAGAGCAGGTGAAAGTTTTCTGAGCATTCGTGGGGTAAAAGTCAGCGCCGGATGCGCAAGTCCATGAGTTGGCCGTTGCGGCAGTAAGCACTAGCGAACTGGAGTTTGAGGGGCCTCAAGAAGCGGAGGGAGCGTTAGCGATGGCTTCGCGAGTCTATGAGTTGACCGTTACAGCAGCAGGTGCCACTGAAGGTAATGCTGCAATGATTAGCGATTCCGCAGCATGCGCTAGCGAATTGGGGTTTGAGGGACCTCAAGTCGATGAGTTGACCGTTACAACAGCAGGTGCTAGTGAAGATATCGCGGCTATTGCGGCCATTAGCAGTTCTCCAACAAACACTGCTAATGGCCGCAAATCAGAGTCCGAGGGGCCTCGGGAGGCGGAGAGAGGGTTATCGATGGCTTCGCGAGTTGATGAGTTGACCGTTACAGCAGCAGGTGCCACTGAAGGTAATGCTGCGGATGTTGGCAATTCGACAGCGAACACGAGCAAATCGGGGTTTGAGAGGCCTCAAGTCGATGAGTTGACCGTTACAGCAGCAGGTGCGAGTGAATACGATCCTACGTCTGTCGATGAATCGGCAGCAGGTGCCACTAAAGGTAATGCTGCGGATGCTTGCATTTCCGCAGCAAACACAATCAAACTGGGGTTTGAAGGGCCTCAAGTCGACGTGCTGACCATTACAGCAGCAGGTGTGAGTGAGGATAACTCCGCCGCTGTCGATGATTTGACGATTGCCACAGCAGGTGGCACGGACGGTAATGCTGCCGCTAGCGAGCCAGCAGCTGATGATGACGCTGCCACACCTGTACAAGACGGTGCCTCAGTGGTACAAGACGGTGCCTCAGTGTTACGAGTCGGTGCCTCAGTGTTACAAGTCGGTGCGACAACGTTACACTCATTGCCTCACTGCGGTACAGTGTTACATGTCCACCAGCGCTCATCCGAGGGGGACAAACTTCGGACCGAGCCGCCGCAAACGGAACCGGAGCCGTCAGTGCAGGCAGTAGCGCACTCACCTAAGCCAGCCCCCGCCGAACCAGCCCTCGCCGAACCAGCCCTCGCCGTACCAGCCCTTGTCGAACCTGTCCAGGAGGTACGGGTGCAGCGAGAGGGTGTGAACGGGGAGCAAGAGCTGCCTGCCGGCGCGGCAGAGGACAGTGTGCGGCTGGTCGGAGGGGAAGCGGGAGCGGAAGGGGACAGTGTGCGGCTGGTCGGAGGGGAAGCGGGAGCGGAAGGGGACAGTATGCGGCTGAGCGGAGACGAAGCGGGAGCAGAAAGGGAGTGTGTGGGGATGAGCGAAGGAGAAGCGGGAGCAGAAGGGGAGTGTGTGGGACTGAGCGGGGGGGAAGCGGGAGCGGAAGGGGATTATACTGGTCTGAGCGGAAAGAAAGCGGGAGCGGAAGAAGAATGCGCAGGGCTGAGCGAAGAGGAAGCAGTAGCGGAAGGGGAGTGTGCTGGGCTGAGCGGAGGGGAAGCGGTAGCAGAAGGGGAGTGTGTAGGGCTGAGCGCAGGGGAAGCAGGAGCACCAGCAGCAGGAGCACACGTAGTAGAGCCACCGCCGCAGGCGAAGGAAGCGGCATTCGACGGGACGGTCCCCTTCCCCGCTCCCCCCATCTCGTCTCTCCGCTCCTCTTCCCCCGCCCGTACCCTTCTCCCGCTGCCCCCCACTCGCACACTCTCCAGCCAGGGCTCACGCGCAAAGCCTTCCGCGTCCGCCACGGGCACAAGCGCAAAACCCGCCGCTCCGCCACTACTTCGTGGAGCCAGTGTGCGCCCGGTCAAACCCCGCCGACCCACCTCCGCGTTTCCCAACTCCCCTTCCCTTCCGCCGATCATCCTTGCGCCTTCCCCGGCTGCGGCCTTAGCGCGGCAGTTCAGCGCGCTCCGCCCCTCTCCGGTTCCGCATCCCTCCGCAATCGACGGCGGAGAGATTGGCGGACCGGGAAGTAGCTGCACGGATACTAATACTAATACTAGTGGCAGCAGCGGATTAAACGACATATACCGCGGCAGCAGCGGCAGCGGCTGCGGCGGCAGCAGCCGCAATGGCAGCGGCAGCGGCAGCGGCAGCGGATGCAACGGCAGCAACGCAGAAGGAGAGTCGCGCAGCGAAGGGGAGTCTTCTCCCTCGCCCCGCTCTCCCTGTCGCAGTAACAGCCACGACGTTCGCGAACCTGCGACGGAGCGTTCGTTAGGCTGTAGATCGCAATCTGGTCGCACGCGACGTCGCACGCTGTCGCAGCTTATAGAGGAGCTGGACAAAATGCGACTCAGAGACGCGCAGATGGAGGCGGAAGCGGGGGAGGCGGAAACAGGGGAGGCGAAAGCGGGTGAGGAAGTCGTGGGGGAATGCAGCGGGAATAAGAAGCGCGCACGAGGAGTGGCGGAACCAGGCGGAGATGGGGGGCAGGAGGCGCGGCGGGGGCTGGGGAAACACCCAAGCATGGGAGGGGCCTTGAGAGTAGAAGCAGGAAGAACCCTCTCATTTCAGGGGTCAAAGCCTTGGCAAAGTTTGAAGTCACCCACGTTTAGGAGTGTAGGACGTGGTGAGGGGGAAAGGGTAAATGCGCGGTTTCCCCTGCTGGTTCTGTCTAAGAGCATCAGCAGCGTTTGGCGACGGAAGGGAGGGAGACAGGGGCATAAAGAAGAGGAGCAGCAGGAGAAGCGTACAGGCGAACTCGAGGGGGAGAAAGGGGAGCGACAGGAGGAGGGGAAGGGGGAGCGACAAGAGAAGATGGAGATGGACGAAGAGGGAAGAGGCGGGGTTGCTTGTAAAGAGGACGGATTCTCTTCTGGCAGTCAATACTGGCCTTACCGCGAGGCTGTATGCAGTCACACTACTTACAGTCACACTGCTTACAGTCACAACCTGGTGTTTCCCGAAACTGGCCCTTTCCAAGCTGAGACGTTCCACGTCTCAAGTAAGAGAAGGGTTTCCTTCAGTCACGGCTTGTGTGCCAGCAGGAGCAATTGCACCAGCTGCTGCTGCTCTTGCAACAGCAGCAACAACTGCAACAACTGCAACAGCAGCAACAACTACAACAGCTGCAACAGCAGTGCCAGGCCGCGCCCTGACAAGACCTGCCAGTGCAGATTGCTCGCAACGACAGGCCTGAAAAACCAAGAGCTCCCTCTCACTTACCTGCTGTCCTCGTTGCAAGCTGCATCAGTATCCGCCACAGCAGTCACAGCGGGCAATGTTGAGCTATACCCAGGTTCAGCCCACCACAGGGCTTTAGGTGAAGCAATAGGTGTGGCGTCCACCAGTCAACACGCAGTGGCTGCACAAGCTCGCCGGGCAATACTGAGTCAGCTTATAGGGGAGCTGGAGGCGATCCAGCCAGGCACGACAGGGAAGGAGGGGCAGCCGCAAGAGGAGGGGGCAGCAGGCAAGGCGGAGGGTGGATTCAACAGGGAAAATGAGGAGAGCAGCAAGTGCGTGGGTGTGACCTCACAGGATGGTGAGAGCTCTGATGATGATGATGATGATAAGGACTTGGAGAAATTATTCACCTTTTCTGGGCCGGTTGGGGTGGACAAACAGAGGGTGTATGGGAGGGTGGGAGGGGACTGCAAGGAGGTGGAGGTGGGTGCAGAGGTGGTGGGTGTGTGTAAGCAGAGGGTGAAGGGTGCGGGTGGGAGGGCTGGGGACACGTGGCAGGCTTGGAGTGGTCAGTTGCTTGGGGGAGGAAGGAGGCTGTTTGGAAGGGTGCCATCTGTGGTGCAGCGGGCACGAGGGGGAGAAGGAGGAGGTGGGGGTGGCAAGGCTTCGTCTCATGTGTGGCCTGATGTGTATGGCTGTGCCGGGCTGAGTGTTGGCGTGGGAGAAGTGAAGGATTGTGAGAGGTAGTGAAGGGGAGGAAGCAGGATGACTGTCTGTCTCATGTGTGGCCGGGCGTGTATGGCTTTGCGGGGCTGATCGAAGCTGAGTGTTGGCGTAGGAGAAACTGTGCAGTAGAGCACAAGACCCAGACACCAGAGAAGAGAGAGGCAGTGGAGGAGGAAGAATGGAGTTTTTTCCATGTGTGGCCTGATCTGTATGGCTGTGCGGGGCTGAAACTTGGCTGGTGTGGGGGAACACGGTGCAGTAGAGCAGGAGACCCCAGGGGGGGAGACACCAGACAAGTGAAGGATTGTGTGACAGGAAGAAGGGTGGTGTCTGTCTCATGTGTGGCCTGGCTGGCGTGTATGGCTGGGGGGGGGCCTGTGTTGGCATGGGAGAGCATAGTGCAGTAGAGCAGGAAACCCAGGAGACACCAGACAAGTGAAGGATTCTGAGAGTTGGAGGAGGAAAAGTGGTGTTTTTCTCATGTGTGGCCTGGCGTGTCTGGCTTTGCGGGGCTGAGCCTAGATGTGGGAGTACGTACGGCATTTGGGGGCAGGAGGTGCAGCAGACGAGTTGTAGGAGATAATGGAGAAGTTACCAAGTATTGTGAAAGGTAATGGAGGAGCAAGCATGTTGCTTTTCGCTTGTGTGGCCTCGTGCGAATGGCTGTATGACGGGGCTGAGCATACCGGCATATTTGAAAGAAGATGGTGCATGACTCAACCGTAGTAGATGGAGGCTGAAGGATGTACCGTATGTGCGGAAAGAGACGATGAAAAAAGTTGCACACATTGCATGCGACTGGTGAGAAGTGGAGAGGGGTGAACTACATGGTAGGTTTCACAGGAGGAGAAGAAACATGGTAGGTTTCACAGGAGAAGAAACAGAAGGGGAAAAAGCAAAAAGTACAGCGAAAAGGGGTGTTGCGAGAATCGAACTCGCGACCTCTCGCACCCAAAGCGAGAATCATACCACTAGACCAAACACCCACACATTGGCAAGCGTTTTTGTATTATCCATCATTATTTTAAGCGCACAAACCGTTGTAGAACGTACAACATCGTTGTTAACCGTTTTAATTTATCCGAAAGTCAACCAACCACGCCCTGGAGGCGTGGTCAAAACCGTGGTGAATGCATAGGACGACTCGACCACGCCCCTAAGACGACCCCAAGCTCCACGTGGCAGCCATTAGAGGTCCGACATTTCGAGGTCATGCTAGGCTGTGTGAAATCAATGGCGGTCCTGACTAGCGAGCAGAGCTATTGTAGCATATCACGACTGCATAGCAAAAGCAGAGCTCCGACCCGAAGGAGTGCTCTGAAACGTTGCCAGCCTGTTGCATTCGGAAGCTCCAACCTGCGAGTGTCACGGAGGGATTTTCGAGGACGGCAAGCATCCCGACAGTATCACCGTACGAAAGCACTCGACCCGCGCAAACAAACGGGTCGCGCGGGTCGCGGCGATGCGGGCCCTCAGCGCACTCTTTCGAGCCTCTCGCGCAGGCATGGCTGAGCGACTCGCGCCGCGCGATGCGGGCCGGGATGAGCCTGGCGACGACCTCGACGAGTGTCCCATCTGCT